TTTTTAAAATAATATTTTAATGGATAAGCTTTTAAAAATATTTCTTAATTTAACTTTTTTTTTTTTTTTTTTGTCTTTTTTCGTGACCGGCAATGGATCGCAACCCTCAGTGTTGTGCCCGTACCGGACCGGGACTGGCTACGGGATCGCAACCCTCGGTGTTGCCCCCGCTCCTCGCTCAGCCAGTGAGCGGCCGGTCTGTATGTGGGATCCGAACCCTTGGCGGGAGCGCCGCCGCACTTCCCAAGCGGTGCACTGTAGCAGTGCGCCACCGGGCCGGCCCATTAATTTAACTTTTTAAATGTTGTTTCTTTAATACACACAGTATAACTATTCATGAAAGATTAAAAAATGCAGATAAGTAAAAATAAAACATAAAAACAAAATTACCCTTAATTTCACCAACCTGAGATAATTCTTGCTAAGTTTGGCATTGACTTAGACAATTTTCTATGCATTTATAAAATATATAGATGCCTGTATTACATATCTTTAAGTGGCATTAATGACATTCACAATGTTGTGCAACCATTACTAGTATCTATTTCCAAAACTTTTTATCACCTCAGCAGACATTTTCTACCTATTAAGCAATTACTCCCTGTTTCTCTCTCCCCAACCCCTGGCAACCTCTAATTTACTTAGTCTCTATGAATTTGCCTATTCTAGATATTTCATATAAGTAGATTCATACAATATTTTTCTTTTTGTGCTTAGCTTATTTCAGTTAGGATAATGTTAGACTAGTACCTTTTGCCTGAGCTACTATAAAAAAGTATAGAATAATGATGAAAACAGAGAGGGAAAGGATGATTTGGGAAGACATTATAAAGGTATTTGTGGAATTCAACTGGACTTGAATCAAAAAATAAAAGATAATACCAAGGTTTCTAGTCGTTAAACAAGAGAAGAAGTACAAGGTGCCCAGTACCTAGGTCAAGAAATTTAATTTGTCTTAAGCAGGAGTTAGGTAGACAATAGCCCACCAGTTAAGAATGATTTTACATTGTAAATATAAAAAATTTTAAATGTAAAATTGAAAAAAAATTCAAAGAAAACTATTTCATGACATGTGAAAATTATATGAAATTCAAATTTCGGTGTGCATAAGTTTTATTGGAACACAGCTTATGCTTATTTGTTTACAAATTGCCTATGGCTGCTTTTGTGTTTAATGGCAGAGTTAAGTAGCTGTAACAGAGAGACTGTATGGCCTGAAAAGCCTGAAATATTTACTATCTGGCCCTTTATGGAAAAAGTTTGCTGACCTCTACTCTAGATTGTGAATTAGCTGGAAAAAATAAAGCACTGTTTCCTGTTTGTAAGGAGCTAGTAGTCTAGTTGAAGAAACCTATAGCAGAGAAAAGGTGTTGACAATTCTTAGTTAACTGATGTTTTATGTCAGAACAGTTATTATACATACAAATACATATGTGTATCTTTCATGAAATGACTCCTTTTCCCATTAAAAAAGATTAGAGAAACTAGTTCATAAAGACTTTGTGTTGAGAACCCATGGAAGTGGAAATGGACTAAATATAATTGTTTATCTAAGGCTTTCTCAGAAAATGAGCTGAGCTTAAAGCTGATAGAAATACTTCTAACTTGTAGCTTCTTTACCTTTTAGTAATGCTAGAAACCATGTACTTCATTGCCTTTCAGATGTGGTGGTGCTAGAATTTGTTATATTTTCCATGAGACTTTTGGGAGAACATTAGAATCTGTTGACCCACTAGGTGGCCTTAACACTATTGACATTTTGACTGCCATTAGAAATGCTACTGTGAGTATGTTTAACTTTTACACTTTATATTTTTTTAAAATGAGGTTAAAGCTTTTTTTTACCCATATAGTATATTTTTTTAATTGATTGTATTTTGTTATTTTGCCCTCATGTTGGAAATTAAGAAGCATTTTTCATGAAAAATACCAAAAATGTGATTTTTTTTTTTTTTTTTTTTTTTGGGCAGCTGGCTGGTACTGGGATCTGAACCTGACTTTGGATAATGTGATTTATTTTTTAAACTTTGGGAAGAATTGACTTTACATGTACTTATAATAAGAGTTCTAAGTTTTGTTTTTTCAGGGTCCTCGTCCTGCTTTGTTTGTGCCTGAGGTTTCGTTTGAGTTACTGGTCAAGCGGCAAATCAAACGTCTAGAAGAGCCCAGCCTCCGTTGTGTAGAACTGGTTCATGAGGAAATGCAAAGGATCATTCAGCACTGTAGCAATTACAGTACACAGGTAACTGAAAGAAATGTAAGAGGTTTCAGATTAAATAGAAAAGGACATGAGGTGTGGCTTCATAGGGTAGGAGGCAGTGTACAAGATGGGGTAAAAGTTAAAATCTGTAGTTCCTTTATCTAAAAGCGATTTGAAATAGTATTCTTAAACGTAACTTCCAAACCTATTCAGTATTTCAGTTAATTTTCCATGAGACGAAATAGACTGTTACTTTTTTCTTTCTTCATCACATATAGGAATTGTTACGGTTTCCTAAACTTCATGATGCCATAGTTGAAGTAGTGACTTGTCTTCTTCGTAGAAGGTTGCCTGTCACAAATGAAATGGTGAGCTACTATGTCACAGATCATCATTGTAATCACTATTAGTAAACATTTCAATTTTAGTTTGGCTGCTTTTTTATACAGCATTGTGATTACTTTAGATTTTAAGCATGTTTCCCAGTATATCGGGAGGAATTTCAAGTGAGTTTCAGTCTTATTTCAAAGGAATATTTTCAGTAATTCTGGTATAAAGTACATTTTTCTTCATATTTTAATCATTGTTAGCCTGCAGCCACAGGTTTTCACGAGAATGGAGTTATTGTCGAGGGTTGTGAATAGCTTTGCTCTATTATATAGTACCACTGATCTTAATGGAAAATTACTTTTATTTTCAGCCTCAGTAAACTGAGCCTTTTTAGCAAGCTCTTATGTTAATTATGAAGTACATCAGGGTAATTTGGCCGCTTCAACAGTGTTTGCTTGTTTGATGACCTAGTACTATAAAATCATAGTTGCTTGCTACTATTCTGTGGATTGCTGCTATTCACAAAAATAAAAATGCTGAAAGTGGCAGAAATATGAGATAAGCACTTGAAATTGCCCTTATGCCTCTAATTGTTGGCTGGGTTTTTTGTTTTCTTTCTGGTCACTAAAAGTGCATTTGAGTCCTTGGCTCAGGATGGTGAGCCCCAGTGGAGGTTTACTAAGAGTACAAAACCATCCTTGGAAGTATAGAATGTAAGTGCTGATGCTTGGTGGTTTTCCTAGTAAGGATAACCCTCAGATTCAGATGTCTAAGACCGAACTTAGCCTGATCTCAAACTCTACCCACTGATATCACAGAATCATTGGAACTTCACTTGAATAGATCCTTTTCATCTAGTTCTGGACCAATAAGTGCTCTTCTGCTACCTGAGATTTGTCAGGACAATGTAGAGGGCATAGTAAAGGATTTAAGTTTATTCTCTCTGTAAGCCTCAGAAAGTCTGTAGAGGGCTGGAGAGATAATTTTAACTTTTCTTTTCGATTATTGTCCCATTAGGATTTTGAACCACATATTTAACTGGGTGCTTCATAATTATGGCTAATCTGTTACTACCTTAGGTCTTTAAATGTGTCCTTTACCCAAACAGAGTTACATCTTTAAATTATGTCTAATTATGAACTATTTTTTCATTGTTGAAATTGAACTAAAACTGACATGGAATAGTGGATGATCTGTGGTTTTCATAGCAAAGTTGCATAAATTTAGCCTTGGAACTTAAATTTGCATCAGGTAGATAACTTTTTTTTCTAACAGTAAAATACTTCCTGCTACCTTAATGTAATTTTTCCCCCTAAAAAATGCAGTTTTAGATGCTGAAACGTAAATAATTTAAAAGCTAGAGCAAATTATTATTTGGCATAAGATTTAGCAATTGGAGAAGAATTACTGAATATTTATTTAGGCTTGAGTTTCCTGTACTTTTTTCAGTATTGTCTATTAAGTTTTATATATAAATTTCTCAAAGTAAAATTAGGTTGACATATTTTTATATATAGCCTAATTTTATTTTTTTCTAGGTTCATAACTTAGTGGCAATTGAACTGGCTTATATCAACACAAAACATCCTGACTTTGCTGACGCTTGTGGGCTAATGAACAATAATATAGAGGTAAATACAATTCAAGTTGTCTTTTTTCAGAGATAGAAAATCTGTTGTAACTTAGTTGTATCAAACTTATTTAGCATGGGATAACTATAAAACAGACATGCTCCATATTACTACCTGTTATATGCCAGGAAATATGCTGAGGGCTTTCTTAAATTCTCAAAACCACCTGGAGGCATTTTTCTTACTTTCTGCTTATAAAACTGAAACTCAGAGAGAATCTGGGAATTCACCGACTTAGTGTTGAAGGGCTGCCTGGCTCCATTTCAGTAACTTGTTTAAAATAGTTTTCATTTGATTCTGAAAGCTGTGAAGAAAACATTCTGAGAATTACCCAACTTTTCATAAATTTGGAAAAGCAGAGTACTCTTTTCACCACTACTGAGGTGGCTACATTTAATGGATCTTTTCTTTCCATTTCATGTAAAAGTAACAAGTTGTGTAAGATCTTAGATGGAGCTAAGGCTGGTGGATGCAGCAATTTATCCAGATGCTGTTTTTTTCTCTGCCACTTTTATCCACATACAGCAAATTTTCCTGCTACTCCCTAATCCAGTAAGATCTCAGAGGACTTCTATACCAAATTTCCTCTGTCTGCATGTGGATGGAGAGAATGTTGTAAACATGGAATTTGGGAACTGGAAGGGACTCTGGGTTATCAACTTCAACTCTTTTCAGATGAGGAGCCTTAGGCCCACAGATGATAACAGCTAATCCTATAGTGCTTATTTTTCTGGGCACTGTTACAGGAAGGAACTGGAAGGGACTCTGGGTTATCAACTTCAACTCTTTTCAGATGAGGAGCCTCAGGCCCACAGATGATAACAGCTAATCCTATAGTGCTTATTTTTCTGGGCACTGTTACAGGAAACAAGCACCTTCTCTTTAACAGGTAGAGGGAAATACTTTTTTTAGCTATGTAGCTGGAGTGATCCCTATTATCGGAAAAAATTCCAAAATGCATACGAGTAAGGCACCTTAAAACACTCAGAAAGTAGACAGTTATGTTAAAAATAAACAGTAGGGCTGGCCCAGTGGCTCACTCGGGAGAGTCTGGTGCTGGTAGTGCCGAGGCCACGGGTTCGGATCCTATATAGAGGTGGCCGGTGCGCTCACTGGCTGAGCACGGTGCACTGTGCCGAGGGTTGAGATCCCCTTACCAGTCAAAAAAAAAAAAATATTAACAGTAGACAGTTCCTTAATTTAAGGATTTAGCTTTTAACATTGACCAACTTCATGGAAAACTTATACTGACAAGGTCATATGTGATATGGTTTCAGATGAGTATTTTTCTACAAATGAATATTCCTTTGGTTTTAATGACTGTGCCAAAGAACATTATGTGGATATTTTCATTTAATCTTTACCATAACCCTATGAGAGTAGATACTGTTCTTAACAATTAGGAAACAAAGGCTTAGAAAGAGCTGGTAACCTATCCAGGAACAAAGCAAGTAAGCACAGTCTGTTGGGGCCCAGGGCCAGCCAAGGTCAGAAATGGCTGGTAACAGGCTAGGGTGAGAATTCCTGTTCTCTAGCTTTTGCTTTGTTATCACTCTTCAAAATGTACATTTTAACATGCTTTCTATTCTGAAGATTGTTAAAATCCATATATGTTTATCATCTGCTTTATTTTTTACAACTAGATAGTTCCCATGAAAAAAGGAAAATAGGTCATGTTTCTGTAAAAAAAAAAAAAATTCTTACACATAAAACATGATTGTGAAGCTTTGTTAACTTGTACCTTTTTGCAAGTTTGAGAGTGTTCATGAAATGCGTTCTACTTAGGAGCAATTTTGACTTTATTTAATCTAAATGCTTTCCTACTGTATTTGATGCTGCCTGTGAGAGATTATTAACATCTACATCCTTATATATTTTCATAATCTTGCACCTGTCATGATGCTTGGGTATAGGAAGTACGCAGTACATGCTGATTTGAATTTAACATAGCTTCTTTAGCTTTGTACCATAATTACTTTAATAATATTAGCAAATTACAACAGTGGGCAGTTGATCAGTCTATTAAATTAGCCAGCTTACAGAAAGGACAATTATTTGTCAACACTATTTCATGCAGTTACTTTAGGATAAAACAGAACATTTTCTATAGGATAAACTTAACCACAGATGCTTCTTCAAGTTATGGTTTTGTGTGCGGGAGTTGTCTGAATTTAACACAAAGGTGTGCAGGTTAGAATGATTTTTAAAGGCTTTGATCCGTGTGCTTCAAATTCTACATGGCATGCTGAAAGTTCATGTTCCACTTTTATGTGGGGACAGTTTAAATAAACGTTTCTTAACTTAGTGGGAAAGGGAGAGATGTTGGTCTGTTGCCCCTCATTTGGGAATCCCTGGTACAGGGAACCACTATTACTGACATTGTATTGTATCCCTCAGGTGTGTTGGGGCAGGAAAAAAGATTGAGAAGCATTGGGTTAAATGATTTATTTGTTTTAAAATATAATTATGGCATGAGTCCCAACAGTGAGAGGATATTATATCTGTAAGTTATTCTACACTTTTCAATTAAGATGAACATTTTTTAGTAGGCATATGTCTCTGCACTCTGATAATCACTTTTGTTTTGCTTGGTTGTGTTTTATAGGAACAAAGGAGAAACAGGCTAGCAAGAGAATTACCTTCAACTGTGTCACGAGACAAGGTAAATGTTCTAAAGCATATTCCCAACACCCAAAGATGGATTGGTAAGCCTCAGAATATTATTCAGTTCTAGAAGTAATTTTTTTCTTCTTCTCCCTTCAACACTCCATTGGAACTATTTAATTGTTTGGGCAAAGATATGTAAGTTTAAAATAGGCTCTGAGTAATTTAAAGATAATAGTATTTTGAATACACTGGAATAAATGCTTAACGGTGGCTTTTATATGTCGAGGATCCTTTTTTTTTTTAAATTCAGTAACTTTATCAACTTTGTAAAATTAGTAGAAATGACTTATGGTTTTTGAAGAGGGAAGACTATGTACATAACAGAGGCTTAATAACCAGTAATATACCTATTATAGTTGCATATATAAAAATGTGTATAAAAATCTGTTACCTTGAATTTTTTGCCAGAAAAGAATCGTATCAAATACCAAAAATAAAAATGAGGCTTTTGGATTTGGATTTTCTTTAGATATTCATCTGAAGCAAACTTTTAACAAAGGTGACAATGATACAGGAAATAAGGCAGCATAAACAATCTTATCTTCCATGATTTTTTTTTTCATGTTTACTATTGTGTTATAGAGGGAAAAAAATTCACAGAATGTTTCTGAACACATTTTTGGCATCCTTGATTTCTTTTACCTGCATTTTTTGCCTTTAGTCTTCTAAAGTTCCAAGTGCTTTGGCACCTGCCTCCCAGGAGCCCTCCCCTGCTGCTTCTGCTGAGGCTGATGGCAAGGTCTGTTCTGATTCTTAATCTAAGTGTGCATGCCTACTTACTTTGTGCAACATAATCTTCTGGAAACACTGAATAGGAGGAGAATGTTACTATAGGATATTGTGCTAAGGTCAGATCATTTTAGTCTAATAGAAATTGAAAAATTATATAACAGTGCATACTTTATCAAATATCATTGACATCCTTTTGCTTGCAATATAGAAAAAAGAAGAGGAAATTATCCTGCAGTTTTTGAATTTCAGGCTATTCGTATTTAAATTTTGCTTGTGAAATTGGATGTTTTAACATGTCTTTTAACAGTTAATTCAGGATACCTGAAGAGAAACTAAAAATGTGAGTCTCTTGCTTCAGAATGGAAAACCTTTGGTTTTCACTGGAAGGAACACTGTCTTCAAAACCATTGAAGAACCTGTTTGTACAGTGACATCTCTTGTTGTCTTTAATATGTTCTCAATGTTCCTTTTATCTAAGTCATGTAAGGTGGTATTAATTACAGTTTTAACTTTGTTTTAATTAATAACAGTAATAGTCTTCCCCAACTGTTTTCTGTTACTTTCATAAAGTTTTGAATTTAGTATTTTGGTAGAGAGTTAAGATTTCAGAGATGGAAATTGTACTTTGGGACATTTTCTCTTTAAAGGTTCTGAGATTTGTCCAGTACTAATGGATAATCCTCTAATGCTGTTTCTTATGCTTCTAATTAATTTGCACTTGTCACCCTAAATGTATAGCTTCGCACGTGCTTCAACAGCTTAAGCAAATTCAAAACAAACGGAGACTGTGAGAGTTTGAGACTGTTGTCAATTCTTGATAACCTTGTTAGGAGAATATTAAAAACGTATAAATTATTTAGACCCCTCCTTATTTCTAGTTTTTCTGCCATGTAACTCTTTTCCTTGCTTACTGTCCATATTGAAGATTCTGAACCTCAAATTAAACTTTATAAATGTCTTACCTTCTCTCAGCCCACTGTGCTCAGATATTAAGAAAACCAGCTAAAAAATCACTGCATGTTTTATTTCACTCATGGCATCACATGAATGTGCTCACTTTCCTGAAGATTCCATTCGATATATTTCAAGTATAGTTAACAAGCATTTAAAAATACAATTACTCATTTTTAAATTGATGTATAATATAATTATACTGCCTATATTTAGATGTAGATCACTTTAACATACTAGAGAAAGATTTTGGCCAGTGTTTCAATCCAGAATGATACCCAGAACTGCTGTTTTTTTAAACAACTGCTATACACTCTTCTGTTAAATTTATACAGTCCATTTTCAGATTGTAAGATCTTAAAGAGCATCTAAAAACATCTTTTAAATGTTGATGAATTATCTGTTTTTCCCATTATCATAAATGGTCATTTTTTTCTTTCAGAAGTCAAGACTAACAAATATCCCAGAAAATATGGTGCAAAAGCACTTGTGAATAATGGTAGCACTAGATTCTTCCAGCAGATCCTCTCTCAGGAGTATAGACGTAAAGGGAACCTATCTTGTTTATGTCACATGCCACATCTTAGGCAGCTTAAAATGACTATCAGCATAAAAATAGGGATTACAGTCTTATTTCTTTTATTAAAGAGTTACTTTTACTTTGTGGTATTTTTGTTGACTATTAGGAATGTAAACTGACTTAAACTATATAAATTCTTAAGTTCAGAGACATAAATTCATAGAACTTTTGGATGATAGTTCAATAGTGTTTAAGTTTACTTTGAAGAAATTAAACTGAAATGGCAGTTGTTTTTCCTTGGGTGTGTTTTTAATGAATACTTCTGTTTTTAAGGATAGCTTATACTTTTTCCAGTCTAGTATTTGAGGGATGAGCGAAGATGGAAAGTTTTGAAAAGTCAGCAAATGATAAAGAAGAAAAAAGGAATTAATCAGGACCTAATTTGGCCGAGGCCTTGCGAACAGAACCTTTTATTTAGATGGCTCAGGGTTCTACTTATACATGCCACCCACCATCTGTTTCTGACCCCGATATCTGAACAGAAGAAACTCCAGATGGGTACTTGGATATGTGTTCTTGACTAACGTCAAAGAAAATGAACTTTGTTTAGTTATTGTCAGACATGATACAGTTGGTATAGGTTTTGGTACATGTTTTTTTTCAGGTTGCATCTGGAGGTGGTGGGGTTGGAGATGGTGTTCAAGAACCAACAACAGGCAACTGGAGAGGAATGCTGAAAACTTCAAAAGCTGAAGAGTTATTAGCTGAAGAAAAGTCAAAACCAATTCCAATTATGCCAGCCAGTCCACAAAAAGGCCATGCTGTGAATCTTCTGGATGTGGTAAACCATGAGAATTTAGTTTAGGTCTAGTAAGATGACCAAATTAATAGGAGACAAAAGGAACTAAGAGTTTGAAGAGCATATTTAACTTTTAATGTTAAATGTTGCCATTTCAAAGTGATACAAAAGTAATATTTTTTTCTCCCTACCCCATTTAGCCAGTTCCTGTTGCACGAAAACTATCTGCCCGTGAACAGCGAGATTGTGAGGTTATTGAACGACTCATCAAATCATATTTTCTTATTGTCAGAAAGAATATTCAAGACAGGTTAGTATTACTTAATTTAAATCACAGACTAATACTGCTGCATAGTTCCCTGATCTGTTTTGAAAATACATCTATTTAAAAATTTTAGATTAGTTTTTATTCTAAATCAAATGCACTCTTGGGTAGCCTTTGGGTGACTGTCAAAGCAAGACAGTCTGTTTACATAGAATGATTAGAACCTAATGTATCAGCTAAAAAAAGCTATTAAGAAATGAGATTCTTTTGTAATATATGGCTACCACATTTTTAGTCATTTAAGAAAATATTTTTTCTAAATTTTAATTTAGTAGTTCATTAATTAATTTGGGTAGTGATGCTAACTTGCCTTTTTAATTATTTGATTTGGTCCTCCAAAGTATCAAAATAAGTTTCTTTCCCTAAGAAATACATATATTTTTTCATTCAGACTCAAAAAGTTTTTTCATGTGTCCAGTGCGTAATGTCTCTTCTTCTTCATATTGCCTCTGAAATAATTTTCATGCAGTAATAGGGAGAATAAAAACTTGGTTATGTAAAGTTATCTAATTTTTTAAAAAAATGTTCTTTATCCAATTTGTGGTAATCTGTTAGCTGGTTAGAGAAATTTTACTGCACAGAGGAATAAAAAGCCAGATAGTCTAATACTGAAATCAGTGATTGTCTGGAGAATCATTTATCTTTTTGCCTGTAGAATCTTTTAACGTGTAGTATGTGGAAGAAATAATTCTTTGTGTTTTACACTATGGCCTAAAGGAAAAAATTTTAGGCCCTAGCTTTTTTCTCCTTCACTGTCCCCAACCTCTACAGTTTTTTTTTAAAGATGTAATTAATTCATATACCATAAAATCCACTGTTTCTAAAGTGTACTTTACAGTGATTTTTAGTATATTCACAAAGTTGTGCAGTGCTTACCACCGTCTAATTCTTATGGGGTAATATCACCCCTAAAAAAACCCTGTACCCATCAGCAGTGACTTCCCATTTGCCGTCCCTTCTATCCCTGGCAAACACTAACCTACCATCTGTATGGATTTGCCTATCCTAGACATTTTTTGTAAGTGGGGTCATACTAGTACGTGGCCTTTGTGTCAGGCTTCATTATGTTCTTAAGGTTCATCCACGTTGTAGTATGAATCAGTACTTCAGTCCTTTTTATGGCTAAATAATATTACATTTTATGGATATATGCCATATTTTGTTTAATTCATCGGTTGATGGATAGTTTGGGTTTCCCCCACTTTTTGGCTAGTATGAGTAATGCTCATTGCAGAGTTTTGTCATGAGACATAATGACAGATGAGATGAAAGAAGGTAAAACAGCAAGAATTGCGGCTTAATGTTTCATTATAATAAAGCAAAAATCTGAAGGGCAATTATGCCACTAAAGAAATATCCAAAATAATACACTATTCTTATTTAACTTTATTATTTATGAGGTCACAATCTAAGTCCAAATTTTTAAAAGTAGAATTTTTGCCAAAACTTCCTAATTTGGTTTTGTTTTGTAGTGTGCCAAAGGCAGTCATGCATTTTTTGGTTAATCATGTGAAAGATACTCTTCAGAGTGAGTTAGTAGGACAACTGTATAAATCATCTTTACTTGATGATCTTCTGACTGAATCTGAGGACATGGCACAGCGTAGGAAAGAAGCAGCTGATATGCTAAAGGTATTATGGAAAAACTTTTTGAATTTTTATACTTGGGTTGTAGATATAAACATTCATATAAATAGCTTAAAATGCTTGTGATATTTGGATATATATAATCTTTATATTATAGCTAGGTTTTTTTGGTTGGTACTTGATTAAATTCCAGAGAAGATAATGGTTAGTATTAATTTACCTCATATAAGTTGGAGAAATTACCCCACATAATTTAGATTGATATCATAATTTAATAAGCATTTAATTTTTTTACTTCCTTTAATGCAGGCATTACAAGGAGCCAGCCAAATAATTGCTGAAATCCGAGAAACTCATCTTTGGTGAAGAGAACTATATAGCACTGAGACTTTTTTGACTCAAAACTTGCTAGTTACTGTCTACTTGAGTAGAATTTTATTTATGAACTTCTGTGTGTTGCAATGGTATGAATCTGCTCATGTGAAGACTGGCTATAAACTGAAAAGTGTACTCTATTGCAGAACAAATCACACATTTAATCCAAATAATAAATGGCTGTTTATAAAATTTTCCAGTATATATAAAATACATTCAATGTGTCTTGTAAATGAACTGTTAATGTTCTAGTTGTACAAAGAAGTTTGCCTGTGGATAAGATGACCTGTGTAATCCCTGTTAGTAGTCTTAAAGCTGCTGCCATAGTCCTTCAAGAAAGTACCAAGACAACATTTCATATGACTAATGCATGTACTATATACACTGATGTGGGTTGGCAACTTCCTCATGTAGAGTCACTATATTCCACCCATGACTCTGTGATGAACTCGCCAATCCACATCTTTAATTCCACCCGTCCTTCAATTTTTTTTTTTTTGAGCTGCTTTGATGTGTAAGAAACCTGAACGCACAAGAGGATCTGTAACGTTGACAAAGATACTGTGTGGTTACATATCCCTTCCACTTCTGGGTCCACAATGCCCTCAGTGCATCAAAATTTAAAATACGCTTTGATTCTTTCTTAAAACTGGATTACAATTTCCTGCATTAAAAACAACCATCTAGACTTGATTATCTAGTAAGACATGGTAACGACGGCCAGTACTTTTTAGGTTTAGAGGATCCAATGGTAACCTTAATTTTCCCTTAGTTTGCAAATATAGTACTCATTAAGATACATCTGGGGGTGGGGAGAAAAAAAAATACATCTCTAAAGTGGGGCACTTACACCAGGTTCCAAGATTCACTTTGATGTGGGACTTAAAACCAATCTACTCTCTGTATTAGTTGGTAACAGCTACTTTTGCTTCATACCAACAAAATACAGTAGAATAGTATGAAAATACTGGTGGAAGTTTATTATTTGAAGAAAAAACATCTGGATACACACTCCTAAAGGCTTACAGCTGTTAAGCTGCATTCAGGAGGTGGGGGTGAGGTTTAAAACGCATACATATTTTATTAAAATTCCCCAGGTGATTCTTGGTATGAACTACTATATTATAAATTGTAAGATAAGGGTAGATATCCTTAAACATCTAGCTCCATCTCTCTCTAGCAGATAACACATTAAGGAAATTATACATTGCAGATATTATAAAATTTCTTTTCAGGTTATGACCAGATGTTTATGAAGGACTGTTGGCAGGGAAAATATGAATGTTAACTTTAGCTTATGGTACATACCCATTTACTAAGAAACAATAGGTTCAGTGACTGGTCCCAAACATAAAAAACCCAAAATCAGTTTGATATGGTACTACTTTGAATCTGTTAATAGTACCATATTGACAGAATACACACTACCAAAATGTTTGTTAGCACACTTAAAAATCACTCTGCATCATGAACATCAGTTTTGAAATTAGAACCATCCATGATTTACTTTTTTCAGATAGTAGATCAAATGACTACCAACGTAACCTTTTAAATTTGTAAGGGGAAAAAAACCCCCCAAAACTTACAGTGGTTCTTTCTCCAGCACATCAAACATTTCAAATTGAAAATGCTGGCTTTAGAGACATGCTATAGTAATGTACCTGCTAGTACTACACACTTTGTACAAAGAAAAACAGAAGCAAGAAACTTATGGCAAGAGAAAAAACTTCCATTTGTTTGTCCTTAAATTGAGTGAAGTTCTGAAATGTAGACATGATCTCTGACATTTATAATAGATACTTGTATGTTCTTGCTGTGTAAATAAAATTGCTGGTATGAAATGATATTAAAGCTTGTCAATAAATGAATTCTTCCAAACTTTTGTCCCAGAGAAAAGCTTAGATAAACTGTGCTTTTTAACACCTAAATCTACTTTGGAACAAAACAGTACAACTTATACTGTACCAAGCGTTTTATGGCTTCTTTTTTTATTAGATTCTCACATTTCACCAAGGTATCTCCATCTTTGCATATGAAGACAGTGACTTGCTCCAAGTAATCTAGGTAGTAAATGGCTAGAATCTGAACACTAACATCATGCTTGGCTGCCTGTAAGATCTTCAGAAGAGATCCATCAGGGAAATGGTTTTTTGGACGTGGAAACAGTTCTGGAGAATTAGGTTGCCTAATATATGCAGAGCTGAACTCAGTCTTGATTCCAAATGCTTTAAGTTTGACTTGAGAACTTACCTTACCTGGATACCTTTTGATATTCTCATATGATTGCATATTTGGTGCAATATATGCCTCTATTTTGTTTCTTTGGTTACTTAACTTTTCAGTTTACCTCAAGATGCAATCTGCTTGAGAACAGAAGTTGAAACTTAAAACTAATTTAAAAGTTTCTGAATTTATAAAATATTGCTACCTTCAGAATCCACTGACAAAAGAAGGCTGTGAATAAATAGAATTATACTGAAACACAGGCAAGGCAGTGGAAAATTGAAATAGAAACTTTCTGAAAAGTCAAGTACTGATTTCTTTTCTTTAAAAAAATACTATTTCTTGCTATAATTTCTAATGCCAAGTAAGTCCTCATCTAAACTTTTCTCCTTTTTAAGGAGAAAAAAACAATCAGAAATTTACAGGTTTGCAATACTAGATTTCCCATTTATAATGTGAACAGTAGATGTGCTGCGGTTTTATAAAAACTGTATAACACTAGTGAGATCAGAGCTGCATGCCTGATATAAAAGTATCGACAATTCCTTATACTACACCTTTTTTATTCTTCCTCATCACTTCAAAAAGGAGAGCAAGAAGGGTAGGACAGGAAAGAAAGCATTTATTTCTTTCACGTAGTATAATTTAAAAAAAAAAAAATCTTTTAAAGAGAAATCAGTTTTCTCTATGTAGTCCTTAGTGTTTGTGGGTCAGGAAATAAAATATCCCCTCGTTAAACAAACACCTTATTTATTAACCAACCCATAAAAATAATGAAATTACTCACACTGTGAGGGCTAGTGTATACTCCATTCTCCGTTTTTCTTATTTGCATAAGCGAAAGCATAAGTTTTGGAACCAACCTTTCATTTGTCTTGAGAATGAATGATGGATAAGTTTGTTTGAATAACCAGAAGAATTTTTCATCATAACTGAAGCCATTTTATAACATAGAAATTCTTTTTTCCTATTTTAAGTAAAGAAAGTCCATTCTTGAGAATATGTTGTCCGACAACTAAAACACTCTCAGGATTTGTTACTTGTCTGTGATTTATACTGACTCCACCGTCTGTTATCATCCGATACCTAAAAATAGAAATGTTTAGTAACTAGAGAGATCCAATCACTGTTGACCTTCTCCCCAAAAGATTATTTCACTTAAATTTCAGAGGCTCTCCAATTGAAACTATTTAGCACTGGACTGTTACCTTCATGTTCACTCTATTTGATTCTGCCTCTCTTTAATGCTCTTCTAAAGGAGCAGCTAAAGGGTAATAATAGGTTTCTTGTATGCTGGAGAAAAAGAGCTGGGATATCTCAAGCTCTTGATAGAACTATTCAGTTGATAGTGGTTTCAAAAATTAAGTGAATAATGGAGGCACTTTCTGGAAAGTTCCCCTGACCTTGGAAATAAAGTCACAGAAAAGAAACTTACAAAAATAAGAGAACAATGCTGCTTTTAGTAAGCTATCCATTAGAAAAGTCATAACTATAGTGTTATCTACAGAAACCTTTAGGAAACTTGCCGATGAAACTAGATGACTCCTGCAAATTAGATTCTGAGACTATGCACATAATAGCAAATTGTTCGTTAAAAGGAAAAAAAAAAATTTTAATTGGCTGATAGCAGAAATAGAAAATCAGTAGCTGATCTAATTTCTAGATTACCATCCAAAATTTTTGATGGCACATGCAAAGTAAATAGGCTTTATCGAAGTTATTTATCATCTAATTTATTCAAGAAACATTTACAGAACTCATACAATGTGCTAAATATAAATAGTACTGCAAACTAGCAGAGAGATTAAGTGAATAATGACAACACACTGTGATTAAGTGCGTAAGAACTAGAAGAAGTTGCTCTAGGAGAACACTGATTGGGTGGAGGCTGGAAATTTTCCTGAATGAAGAGACATGTAAACTGCCTGGAAGAGTGAGTAGCAGTTACCTTTACCACAGGGCAAGGAAACATGGAGTAGCTAGAAAGAGGTGAGATTTGAGAAGAAAGGAGGGCGAGAGCATGAAAAGCCTTGGAAGTCCTTGTGAAAGGCAAATGTTGATTTTCTCTTATATGCATGTTACCAAATAAAATGAAGGAACTATTATACATAGTTTTAAAAAATTCAACAGTAAAAGATTTTCTATTTAAAGACAGACTTCTTTCTTTTAGGAAATATTTTAGGATGTTTGCTACAGTTTCCAGATCATGTTGTACCTTTTGTTTAAATGTACAGACCAACCCTATTTAGCTAATACAATATAAAAAATACAACCAGTATTACTTAGAAACCCAGCTAAATCAGATATGGTGTAATCTTTAGTGATAAAACTTCCAGTATCAACAAATACACCATAGGAAGGTTCAAAAGAAAATATAAAATGCTTCCAGTGAGGAAAATTCTTAGAATCAGTGACTCACTCACCGTAGGGAAGGGTATGACACCACCCTCAAATTCAGTGTATATTAAATAAACTACCACATTAGGGAATTAATAAGATGGAGTGGCAGTGATGCAAAAGGAGACAATAGATTCTTTATACAGAATAATCTAGGGCTCTTTAGGATAGAGGAAAATGATCCCAAATAATTGAAAGAAAACAGCAACTGTAACAAGTGTCATTCATAATCATGGTCATGGTCTATTTGACTTATGCTCAAACTCCTATAGATGAGGCACGCAGGGTCTTCTGGCTAACAAGTGCTTTTCATTCTACATCTCACTGTTCATTTAAAAATGGATAAACGTCAACTATACCTATATGCTAAATTACATTGTGTGGAACACCTTATTCCCTAATAGTACCCCATAACAGGAATTAAAATATTCTACTCAGTTCCTGAATAAGAAAAATGCAATTCCTAAGAGGAACATTATGTTGTTTATAATAAGTCTTCTGAAGTTATATGCTCATTTCATTTTCAGAAATTCAACTAATATTTTAAGTAGGTTCGGTAACCCACCTATCCCCTCCAAATAAAGAGGATACAGACTGAGTATGAGAGGGGTTGTGTGAAGCTGTTCACTTAGGTCCTTAAGACCTTCTCAAATTATGACCGTATCCCTGAGCTGACTGATCCCAGTGTATGTACTAAACAATGTGGTCCCTCAAACTCAAGACTATTCCAGTGCTGAAGGAAAAACTGATTGGATTAGACTTAATAAGAGACAATATAAGAGTACTGTGCCATACAGAAAATTTAAGGTATTTTCAACATAAGTACTCTTTTCACTTTATTCTTGGACTAACCTAACTTCTACAAGAAATGAGATGCCATTAAAGCATTATCAGAAAAACACCCTCTCTGGAAACACATACTGTGAATTGTAACATTTAATGGTGAATTAACTGTGAACCTAAAAGTTAAATAATCTTACCCTCGGGGACCATCTGGAATGGCATTTGCTTTGCGGCATGTATCAAGGACGTTTGTTCCAGGGTCAAGAACTAATTCTGAAAATGAAGCTTCTTTAAACAACTCTTTTAACTCTTGATCAGACATGACCTCCAGTGCATCTATGCTACTATGATAAAGGGCATGTGTACACCTGAAAAACATATTGTAAGAGCCACATCATACAAGTGCTTATTGAAATACATGTTCTAATACCCATTAACCAATTATGGAGTGCCCATTATATTTCAGACTAAAGTTTTTGAAACAGCAACATCTATCTTGTATAATTCACAAACACAATTCAAGATAATCTTTTTTTCCAATTAATGGGCTATTTTAAAGTACTTAAGTCAAATACTGATAATCCCTGTCACTGGTAAATGACAACCTAATCTTCTCTAGTCTATCAACTAAATAACTTTATCAATTGTTGGTTACTCTAAAAGGCAACCTTTTAGCAGAATCCAGTCCTTCTCGTCCATGAACAAGCTTTGTTACTTCTGCAGCAAGTCGTTTCTGAGGACCTCGCTTTTCTGGCTCTTTGATGTGCAGCTGCATAATGTGGTCAATCTCTGGAATGGGCAGAAAAGTGAAGAGCTTCAGGTACCTTTGGGATAAAAAATAAAGTGTTACATTTATATCACCTCATTTTTACTTCTAGCTCCCTTACCCTTTAAAGAATATCCTGTTTACTTTTAAATTTTTAAAAAAATTTTAAATATGAAACATAACATGCAGAAATGTACTGAAAATAATATAACAGACACCCACCCATGCACACGCACCACCCAGACTGAAGATGTTACTATTTTCCAATCTTTGTTTTTGATCCCTCCTCCTTAAAAGGAATAAAATAGTGTAGATATGATGAAGGCTCTAGCCCCATCACATTCCCTTCCCTGCCACCAAAGATAACCACTCAATTTGTGTACTCCCTTTCCAAGTATGTTTTTGTATTTTATGTGTACATACCCGTAAATACAAAGTACTCTGTAATTTAAGAATTGACATAAATAACATCATTTTGTATGTATCCTCCTTTTAAACATTTTCTTTGGTGAAATATAACACACAGAAAAAAGTATGTTAATCACAAAGATATAGCTTAATGAATTATAAAGCAAAGATTTACGTAACTATCACTTTGATTAAGAAATACAACATTGCCCCTACCCAAGGAAGCCCAAATACGTCACACACTCCCATACCCCCTCCACGTTAACCACTATTCTGTTTTTCATGGAAATCACTTCCTTGTTTTTCTTTACACTTATAACATCTCGGTATGTCTCCCTAAAAAGCATCACTTAGTTTTGCCTGTTGGCCTATCTTTATGACTTTCTATAAACAGAATCATACAGAATATATTTTTGTGTTTGGCTACTGTGGCATATCAATATATTTAGGAGACTCATCCATGATGTTGTGTGTACAGCATTCCATGCTACGAATATCCCATAATGTATGGATGTATTTATTTCTACTGTAGACGTGTCGTTTCTACTTTTGGATAATTGCTAATAATGCTGCTATGAATATCCCATATTTTTCTCTTCATGCACACATGCACTAATTTCTGTTGGGTAGGTACCCAGGACAGAATTGCTGGATCATGGGTTATGTGCATATTCAGCTTTAGTAGGTGCTGCCAAATATTTTTCCAAAGTGGTACTACAAATTTACCCTTCCACCACTTTGGAACATTCTCACCAACACTAGGTACTGCCGATTCTTTTGTTTGTGTAAGTTCTATAGTGGTATCTCACTGTGCCTTTATCTTGCATTTTTCTTATTCTTAAGGCTAAGCACCTTTTCATATATTTTTGGCCTTTGGATAGAATCTTTGTGACATGTCTGTTCAAGTCTCTTTCCATTTTTCTGCTGGGTTGTCTTTTTGTCATGGGCTTAGAGAAACTCAGTAATTTGAACTCAAGCTCTCTATCAGTTAGGTACATGTATTAAAAATATTTTCTCCCACTCTTTTTTTTTTTAGTATGGAATGCTTCACAAATTTGTGTGTCATCCTTGCATAGGGGCCATGCTCATCTTCTCTGTATCATTCCAATTTTAGTATATGTCCTGCTAAAGTGAGCATTCTTCTCCCACTCTTAATGGTGAGTTTTGATGAATAGTAGATCGAAATTTTAATTTGGTCTAATTTATCAGTTTTTTACTTTTGTGCCCCATTAAAGAATCTTTCCCTATTCCAAAGTCATAAAGATATTTCCCTATTTATCTATTGTCTAAAAGCTTTACTGTTTTGTCTTTTGTTATAGATTTAGGTTTATAATCTACCTGGAATTGACTTTTGTGTACAGCGTAAGGTTAAGTTTCATTTTCCGCCCAACAAAGACATCTAATTACCCAAGCAATATTTATTGAAAAGACTGCCTTACCAATTTGCAGTGCCACCTTTGTCAGGGAAGGTGACCATATATGCCAGAGTCTGTCTGGATTCTCTATCTGTTCCACTGGTCTCCTTACTTAATCTTACACTTAAACTTTACTTTAAACCTAATGGTTATTACTAGAATTAATAAGTGAGTTGGCAGGATTGCTAGACACAAAGTCAACAAATAGATATTGTATTTCTGCACACTAGAACCAAATAGAAAATAAAATTAAAAAAAAAAATATATCAGTTCTTGATATATCAAAACACTAGGACTGTACCATCAAGCATGCTAGGAATAAATCTATAATTACTATAATTTTGTAATAAGGCATATCTTCCACTGTTCTTCAAAAATATCATGGCCAGTCTTAGATTTGCCAAGTAAATCTTATTTCCATGTAAATCTTTGTGTTTGTCAAGTTTCACAAAAAAAGCCTGTTCGACATGATTGAGATTGCACTGAATATATGGATCTAATTAAGAACTGATATCTTTCTGGGCCGGCCCGGTGGCGCACTGCTACAGTGCGCCGCTTGGGAAGCACGGTGGCGCTCCCGCCGAGGATTCGGATCCCACATACAGACCGGCCGCTCACTGGCTGAGCGAGGTGCGGGAGCAACACCGAGGGTTGCGATCCCGTAGCCAGTCCCGGTCCGGTACAGGCGCGACACTGAGGGTTGCGATCCGTTGCAGGTCACGAAAAAAGACAAAAAGGGAGGGGGAAAAAAAAAAAAAAAGAACTGATATCTTTCTATACTATGAATATAGTATAACTCTCCATTTACGTAGGTTGTCTTTATTTTGCTCAACAGTGCTTTTTAATGTTCTGCAGGAAAGTCATATATTTTTAAAATTTTAAAGTAGTCCTAGATTATTTTGGTGATACAGTAGCAAAAAATTTTTTTTCCACTTTCTCTTTGTTGCAAGTGTATTTATTTGTTTTCTCATTATTTATATTCTTCCAATACTCTAGGGCAATGTGAATTAATGAGAAAACCATTTTTTAAAAAGATCTTTAAAAGGTGTTTTATGGGGCTGGCCCAGTGGCGCACTGGAGAGTGCGCCGCTTGGGAGTGCAGCAGTGCTCCCACCGAGGGTCGGATCCCATGTGGAGACCGGTTCCCGCTCACTGGCTGAGCACGGTGCGGGCGCAACACCGAGGGTTGCGATCCCGTTACCGGTCAGTAAAAAAGACAAAAAAAAAAAGGGGAAAAAAAAAAAAGGTGTTTTATGCTACATTAAGGAAAAGAAATCATATTTTTGAGAGAAAAGAGACAAAGGGAAAATGAAGGTAGTCAAGTTTAAGATAAAAGTTGTGAAAAAACTAGAATAGACAAGGGATAAAATCCTCAGAACTTGCTAGATATAGATCACAAACTTGGCTCTAAGTTTTCTAGTCAACTACTGGGTTTTCTGCTTTAGCCAACAAAAGTATTTAACTTTAGAGCACAGTTAAAATTGCAGTGTTCTGTGATCTAATGGTTTATACCTTAAATAGAATCTAAGTAAAAACAAAACCAAAAAACTATAAAGAGTACATAGAGATTAGAGGGCTAAAATTACATCACAAGCTTCTGACGTTAATTTTTCTCAGCCCACTATTAGGAACTTACCTTTCCACAGAATCATCCTGCTGCCTGACAAAGAATTGATACAATTCAAATGGAGATGTCTTATCTCTGTTTAGCCAGACAGCATTACCAGCAGACTTTCCTAACTTTGCTCCAGTTGTACTTGTAATTAGAGGGACGGTGATCCCAAATACGTCTTCTCCAGTTAACCTATGCACAAAGAAGAACTTCATTATGTGCTTCTACCACACTGGTGGTAGGTTCCACTATTCACCTTTCAGATTTCAGTTGGTTACCTGCTCCAAGAAAACTTCCTTGACCTCCTAAATCTGGATTCTTGACCCTCATATGGGCCGTTTTCGAATTTGTCATTCTGATCTGCAGTTGCACGAGTGGCTCTGGGCAAGCTCAGGGGGAGCACTGCATAACTAGGGACTAGAAATTGTGAAAGGCTGGGTGGGAAGAGGAGAGAAAATTGGGTGAAGGGGGAGCCAGGAAGAGACACTACAGGGCATGTTTTAAAGGGATTTTTAAATGAGTTTTTGTCCGTAGCACACGGGCTAAACCAGTACTTCACCTCCCTCGGGAAATTGCCATTAAAAATCTACATGACTTGTTAAATATTTGAAGACGAAACATTTTTTTTTGAGATGCCAACCAAGGATTAACACTAGTTTCAATAAAGGTGCAGAACTAAAGCAAAGGCTACTCAGAGACCCAGTCGCGTTTCACTATAAATAAAAGCAGTTTCTCAAGTTAGAAACAGAGAGAAGGCGACTTAAGGGAAGCAAAACAGGCACACCGACTCTTGACCAGGGGTCTACTTGCTGCAGACCTCTACAATATGCTCTTTACTCTTAATACCCTTAATTCGGCCTTCTAGTTCTCACCAGCCGGTGTTATGAACACCATTATAGACCCTTAATGAGGCTAAAAGCAACAAGAGCCTGCATGAAGGGCAGCATACCACAATCCTAACAGTGAACACCAGGCGACTAGTGTGTGTACATTATTTGTCCCCAGGATTTACCCAGGTCTAAAAGTGCTTACTTGTTTATGAACTCGTATCCAGACATGATGTTGCCCAGCTGATCAGACCCGCCCAGCTGGACCCGGCATCCATAACGCTGGAACAGGTAATAGAAGTCATAGGCCTGGAGCACCTGGTAAAAGAACTCGGCTAAGCTCATGCCTTCCGGGCTTTTGAGCCGCGTTTGCACGCTCTGCCGGCTCAGCAGCGTGCCCATGCGGAAGTGAGCGCCCACGGCCGCCAGGTAGTCCACCAGGTGCTGCTTCTGGTACCAGGCCGAGTTATCCAGCACGGTGAAGCTGCCCCAGGTCCGCCCGTCAGTAAAGAGCTGCTGGTGATTAGCCGCCAAGGCCTCGAGGCCTCGGCGCAGGGCGCTGGCGTTGGCTCGCACGCGCTCTGCGTCCAGCGCCTCGCGCTCCTTGGTACGGCCGCTCGGGTCTCCCAGGCGCGCCGTGGCACCTCCCACCAGAGCGATCACATTGTGACCCGCTCGCTGGAAATGAAACAGACCCAGCAGTGCCAGCAGATGCCCCACGTGAAGCGAGTCGGCCGTGGCGTCGAAGCCGCAGTATATGGTCTGCGGAAAGCTGCCCGCCATGCCACGGTTGAAGAGCTCCGGGAGTTCCACCTTCGTACCTCTTTCCGGGAAGAACTCCTTGAACAGACCCCGAGCCTTCTGCGCCGCTAGTAACCCCTGAGCGCCCGAGTGGGCCTTACGCAGGCCCAGGGGCAAGTTTGCTGACGGGCCTGGGGTACGAGACCACCGGCCTCTGAAAAGGTACCGCAACGTGGGCGCCGCCATCTTGGTGGCGGCACGAAGGGAATGCTGGGATCTTGGCTCTCTCCCCGCCACACCCCCCCAGTACCCGCCTTCTGCCCCTCCCGGGGAGGGCGCGTCAGTGTTTCTCTGCGCATGCCCGGGTAGAGCGTGAGGCTTTTACTTAGTTCCGGAGTTTGCGTTCTGGACGATCACCATGGTTCCCGCCAAGTGGCGGTTCAGCTTCAGGGCCCAGTCACCTTAACTTCCCTAAAACTTAATTTCCTTATTTGCGATGTGGCTATTTTTATGGTAATAGCTCCTACCTCATAGGGCTGTTGCGAGCATTAAGAATTAAAGCACTTGGCACACAGCGCTCTCCAAATATTAGCTTAGTTTAATTTTCACTTAAAAAGATTGTGATGAGGGCCGGCCCGGTGGCGCACTGGATGGTGCGCCGCTTGGGAAGCGCGGCGGCGCTCCCACTAAAATTAGTAAGACGATACCAGTATGGCAATATGAATAAGATGTTTATTTGAGGCTTGATTATATGAAATATGAGAAAAGACAGAAACAAGGACGCATATCAGATAATTATTTTAAATAGCAAACTGTTGAAAAAAATTAAATATCTAAAGATAGAGGCCTGATTAAATAACTTGTGGTATAACCCCTTCTGGTATATTTTGCAGCCATTAAAACTGTGGTTATGAAATATTAGTAAAACCAGAAACAAAAGTATACATATTTTAGACTGAGGTGGGAAAGAATTCTCTAAAATGAAAAAAAGAATGAGACCACGTAATAACTTCGTATAGCATACATTATACGAAGTTATACCCGGAAAAAGACAAAAAAGACAAAAAAAAAAAAAAAAAGATTGTGATGCGCAAGTTCTTTGAAGTCTTGGTTCTATGCAAAACCCTGTCCAGAGGTTGGGAAGGGTTAGGAATTGGTTTAACCTCATGGAGAGAGACGGAGTTGGCGTTGAGACGCAATTTCGTAATACGGATTCCCCAAGTGCATTCATTAGCTTCTCCAGGAGGTGGCAGTCGTGTCCGAGCAACAGAGAGAGAAAAATTCAATAAATTAAATGCTTAAGCCCTGTGTGTTTTTAAAAATGTATTTATTTTAAATACAGGTGACCAGGTCGGGACACACCTTAGTATAAGTGGATTCAAATTAGTAATCAAATCGCCACAGCATGCCACGTGCTCTGAGTACTCCACTTGCCAGGGATGAGGTTCTCACTGGCTGCTGGCTGGCAGATCTAGCTCCAAAATGCCATCTTAGAGTCTGATTTGTAGGACCACTTTAATAACCAACTGTCTTAAGTCCAGTTCCCGGGACTCCGAGTTAGAGGTTTTTGTGCTGGAAGATTATTGGGGTGTGCTCTTGGGAACAACATCTGTAATGGAATGAGGGAAGCAGAGTTGAGCAGAGGGAGTTGAACTGTGAGCAATTTGAACAAACTGAATAACAGAGGCCTCGGACACTCCCAGAAGGGCTTTGGAGCTGGGATTTCTTTTCAGAGTCTTCCTGAATTGAAGCAAGGGGCAGACGGTGACACCCTTTTATTGACTACTCATTAAATGTGGTATGCTCCTAGGGAGGAAGCAAGACCATGGGCAAGGCTTTTTGCAGAGGGAGATGTGCAAAAAGGGCCTCACCTGGAAGCCATCAGCAACCAACACTCCCAGCAGCTGGGAGATTGAGTGCCTTGGTCCTGGTGCAGGGGTCCGGGCCATGCCCCAAACTATTCCCTACAGGACCTTTCCATTCCTTAACTTTATAAAGTCATTTAATGATATGAAATATTATTTTAATTATTAGTTGCTTTGCATGTATAATTATCAGTGAATCGAATTTTTTATTCCCAAATAGTAACTTCAGTAGGATTTTTAGATACGCCCTCAACAAACTATATAACATAATCCCGTATGTTGAGGAAAATAATCAAGATGTATTCTCTCATGTTGTTATTCAAAATACCTTAAACTTTGCGATCGTAACCTGTTGATCTGCAGTCTTATGTCCCACCACTTTGATCAGGGACAGATTTCAGTATGCACAGCAGGAAATTCTGAGCACACAGCAGATGGTGCTTCCTATTTGGTACTTAACACACAAAGATTTGAACATTTCTAGAGGAAAACCTTTCTGTATTGCTAGGGCTACGGTCCACAGACCCTTCAAACCTGTTGTACAGACCGGGTCACAAACCCCTCACCTGCAGGTCTACGAGCTAGGTAATAGGAAAAAGATCCTAGGAGCTGAAAGATTTGAACATTTCTAGAGGAAAACCTTTCTGTATTGCTAGGGCTACGGTCCACAGACCCTTCAAACCTGTTGTACAGACCAGGTCACAAACCCCTCACCTGCAGGTCTACGAGCTAGGTAATAGGAAAAAGATCCTAGGAGCTGTGAGTGAAGATTAGTAGGCTTTATTCAGATGCAAGCTCAGGTAGCTAGCAGCAGCTACCCTAGTGGCCTCCTGGGGCATCCCGAGGGCACTGTGTATCAGAGCTGTTCATCCTTTGTACTTAAGTCCAATAACCCAGGAACACCTGGGTGCCCACGCACATCCACAGACAATAGCCAAGGAACACCTGGGTGCACATGCAGTTACCATTTACATCAAATGCTCAGCAAGGTTCTGAACACCCCCTCCCCCCTGGCCCGGGATCCTGACCATTTACTTTTCATTTTCCCTACACTTTTCATTCTTGAGGTTTCTGGTCAGTATGACACATAAATATCTGTAGCTTTTAGAGGTGTATTGATAATTTTATACTAGAAAGTATGACTTCCTATCTTGGCGTAATTACTTATCACTTTATCACTTCAGGAAATTCTGCTTCTCCTTATAAATATATGTACCTGTGTCACCATTACTTGATGGCCTGTATTTAATGGAGAAGAAATTTGGGGGATGATGAAAAATGGAAAATTTCTACCTGGTATTAAAATTTGTTATAAAGTCTTTTAAAAATAGATTTAAGTTCTGCTTTGTCTCTTCTTTAGTTGTATTTCATGAACAAGGAGCAAAGTATAGAAGATAGTATCAGAGCAGGTGCTATGTGAGACTTGACAGTAGCTCAATGACAGTGACAACTTTGGAAAATACATTCACATCAATTATTTTCCTTTCATAATTTGTGTTGGTGTAATAGGGAAAATGAGGCTTTATCCAAAAGACAGGAATAATAGAAGAAGGTAGGACTTTCAAACTTTTGGAATCACATCTATGGCTAAAATGTTATGGGACTGCACCCATGACTTGTGCTTGGGTTAAGTAAAGTTCACCAAGTTGATTCCTGCTGTTTTTATTGGCTTAAAAAGTTAATGAATGAGTGTTACTTTTTCGAAAATATAGTTTATCTCAACCTTAGTAACTAGAGGTTAGCTGACCTTGAATTAGGGGCACATCTATTTTGCAATTACCCTTTCCTGCACCAAAATGCCACATAAATATTCTTTGAAAGGCCCCCTGTTTTCTATGGTTTGGTTTTGAAGATGTTAACAATTATAATAACATTCAAAAGGCACAGAGAGAGTAAAGAGTAATAGTGTTTTAACTGGTATCTCACAGGTTGTACCAACAGTTAAAATTAGGCAGTCCTACTTAATTTCGAAGTGTTTCTCTATCTGTGGCATAGTATGTATACAGATTACAGCAGAGATCCATCTGGGGCTGAAATATGAGCTGTCCAAAGGTCACAGCAAAATGACAGTGGAAAGGAGCCTGAGTAATTCTGACCATTATAGTCACTATAAAACATCATTCCTATTTCTGTTTTCTTTTTTCTCTTGGAGATGGAGGTATTGTTTTCTTCGGGAACATAAGTAGTGACATAGGATGCAAAAGGGAATGAATAGGGACAAGGAATAGAAATTGTTACTTCAGGGATTAAGCTATGGCCTTTTTCCAGGTGAAGTATTTCCATGACCTTTCTCTTTCCTACTACTTAGGAAAAGAAAAAGAATAATTTCTAAAGATTGGTTTCAAGCATTTGTTGTCTTTGTATAATAATTTATTAATCAATCTGCCTCATAATTACGTCTTCTCACATGGCTTCATTGTTGTCATTATTCTTGAAAGCCCCACTGGAAGTCCTAAAGAATCCTCCCGTCCTGCCCATCCTCACCTGCAAGGCAAGTGCTCCCTTTTCATTCTGAACTAATTCCTTCCAGGAAGGTCCTTTGCCTTAGGTGGGACGAGGGAAAGATGCTTTCACTATATAGGTTCATCATGCCCCTAAAATGTATTAAAATGTGAAATCAATAATGCTTATCCTTCTCACAAAAGAGGAAAGGGCATTAAATCTATTAAAAATATAAATTCATGTGACTCAAGTGCCTTGAAACCTAGTCTGTGTCCTTTGATTAAAGTGGCTCCAATGCTTTTTGAGCTGTTGGTTGTCTTAATATCCAAACATTTTATAGCAGAGGTTAGTTTCTTTTAAGCTGTTGGTTGTAGGAGGATTTTAGACAAAGAAAAATAAGTTACTATGTGTGTGTTTCCTTCTGTATTAGCGTTTACAGAAGGATACACACCAGTGTTCATTCTTTTTTTTAAACTGGTTTTGTAGCCAGTAGAATAACCTGGAAGTCTCAGAATTGCCTTAACTATATGCACCAGCTCTGTACCCATATTGCTGGATAATATTTTGAGATGTTTATGGGTTTGTTCTAATCCCTTATTTTTTACTTTCCATCCTGTCCATTTAAGTCTGTAGAAAGTTCTGGGGAAGGTACAAGTCTGGGAGGAATGCAGAATAAACCTGGAACTTTTTGTGGCTTTTGTTTCCAAAAGCCAAAAAGCTAAGACAAGATAAAGTATGAGGAAATAAGCTTAGAGAAGCAGAAGAGAAAGAGATAGGGTTCTCTGTCTTAAAGAGAACCCACTCCTCCCCCCTAACCTGGGCAAGAGAGCCCTGGCTGTTCGCCCCACTTGCTAGAGGAGGTGAGCGTTGTTCCCTGGCCTCAAAGAGATGACCTCCTGACACCTGTCAGGCCTCACCCGAGCTTCCTGTGGTCCGTCTGAGGCAGGGGGAGCATCTGAGTGCCAGGGGGAGGGCTCAGAGAACCAGTGCAGGTTTGGCCA